TCGCTATTATGACATGATAGTCACGTATTAGGCAAAACAGGCAAAAGCAACCGAGTGACCGAACAACTGCATAACCAATAACCCAACATCTACCACGACGACCAAACTGCATTCAGAATTATGAGGCGACCGACTGACTGGGGACAACCGGTCGGATTGGACTTGGAGATGGAGACGAAGACGGTGGAAAATCTGGGGACGGGGTAGAATGCGAAATTAATGCGCCAAATGCCAAAATATTTGAGACACAGCCGAACAAAATTTGCATTTGCATGGTGTGTTTCGAGTGTTTGGAAACAGCATCCACGAACCAGAAACGAATAATAAACATGCTGTACGTATGTAAATATTATTTCTTATCTGACTAATGGATAAATAAACAAGAAAACTATATTGAAAAACCTAATATAGACTTGAAGAAAGAGTTACCAAGTTGAAGTCTCAAGGAACAGTAAGTGTTTTCACTATTTCCTAGCTGATTTTTCAATTTAAATATCAAAGATACCCTATTGAAAAAGCTACTGGGTACAACACACAACAAACTATTTACATAACAAAAGGCGAAAAGTCTGTCGCCTGAAGCCTTAGTTACAAATTCAATTCAAGTTTCAGGTTCCGGCCGCTCCAGGCTCACTTTTGGTTTCGCTTTTTCGGGTAGTTTTTCTTGGAGCGTTGACACATTTTCCACATGCCCACACACACACACACAACACGGCAGCTGATTGTTCTAATAACTTGGCCTGGAAAATATTCACATCTGAATAGGATCGGTGTGGCAAGACAGAGTGAGAGAGCAAAAGACTCGATCGAGTCTGGTCTGCCTGCCTGATCGATTTGTGAGCGATGGCGGGCTGCTGCTTAATTTGGCTTATGTTTCATATTTGCCCTGAGGCAGAATCGTTTAGTGCTACGGCCATTGATTTATTTCGACCGTATTTGGTCAGATCGAGGTCCACTCACGACGAGGGTGTTGCGTTGTTTCAGTTGCTGTTGCTGCTGCTGCTGCTGCTGTCTCCTGTTGCATGTTGCTGGTTGCTGGTTGCAGTTGCAACCCAAAAACTTGAACTTCGACTTTCGAAAAAAACAACGCAAAGGCCCGCAAAGTCTGACTAATGAGAGAATTATGCAAAGAGATAGAACGGGTGCGATGGAGAGCCAGGGATCTCAGACCAGGATCGGTGAAGTTTTGCGTGCTGCCTTCGACTCTTGGGTTTATTCATTAGCTTCAGCTTCAGTTTCAGCTTCAGCATCGCCCTCGCCTTGCTCTGAGTTCGCCTCGAGTGGCAGCTAATTGCCAGAGTTGGATTTTGGAGCTGGGAGTCAGTATCTGCATCTAGAAGTGAAACCGCCAGCCGCCACATCAACATGAACACACATCTTATCGGGAGGCCAAGCACCAATTAAGACACACAAAAAACTTAACTCGACGGCTTGAAAATTGTCAGCAGCAAATCGAATCCAATCGAATCGAAATGGAAATCAAAGTCAGTAGTCAGTGGAATCGACAGGCTGCCGTTTTAATTTGATTTGATGTGGATGCTGGAGGCCCCAGAGAACCTCCTCCGGCCTCCGATACGTCAGGCTATATAGATATGGTATATGTTACTATATATACCGAGCTCATGTCGGTCGTTAGCTTTTCGATTTCGTTTGCGATTAGAGGCCAGGCTCGCATTCGCTATATTTTGGCTGCCTGTAATGAGCCAGCGACATGTTCAACTTGCTCAATTGCTAAATTGCTGCCTTGCTTTTGCTCTTGCTTTGCATTTGCTTTGGCTTTAGCTTTTGTTAGCACGGTTGTGTGCCCAATTGCCAATTGGCAACTGCCAACTGGCTGGCAAAGTCGACTTTAACTTGCGATTGCCACCTGCAGCGATATCTAAAAGTCGCCATTGTTTTGGCTACTGCTCCCAATTATGCTCGTCAGGTGCGTAGTCTTCCCCTGGGAAAGGGGGTGCTATCAGGGAAATTATTAAGAAACAAGATGCATAACGCGCATGCATTTAATATGTTTTCCATTCAACTTAATGCTTTTGCTTAGCTCTATCAGAAATATAAGATGCGTAACAGAAAGCAATCGTAAGCTTCACTTCATAAAAGATAAATTGATAAACAAATAAAAGACTAGTAACTTCAATAAACTCCCAAATATGATTCATAATACTTATCAATTTTATAGAGAGAAGAGGATAAGACCCTATATACAACATTTCTATAAAATTTACACTCTATTTACTATTACAAGAGGTATTTCTTCCCTCTTTCCAAATGATTACAAATGAGACCCCCTTCGGGGCGACGCTACTGTGTGGGAAAGATGCCTATCGGGGCGACGTCAACAAGTTGGACATAACTCAACTTGAATCGATACGGGGTAAGGTAAATGTGGCGTGAAGGTCGAAACCTCAGTGGGTTTTCCAAAGCAGTACAAAAGGCGGGGGAAACGGCTAATTGAATGCTCTAGCTAGTCGGAGGATTCATCTTTATGAAGGCAAAGACGAAGCCCACGCAAAAAGACTCTTCTTTGCTATTCGCCCGACTTTGCTTTATAGTTCTTTGTGTGTGTTTTTGTGGATATTTTCACGTTCAAAGGTTATGACGTTGTCGTGTCAACATTTTATTATTTATTGTTGTTGCCTCTAGGCCAGGCGAAAAGGGTTTGCCCCAAAACAAAAGCCAGCTAATGCGCCCACTCCTCTACATGGTCTAGAGTCTACAGTCCGCTGTCTGCAGTCTTCTGTTGCCTGTCGGTGGCTTTTGAGCTTTGCTTGTTGTTTTGAGTTGCAGTTTTGAGTTCCTGTCCTGTCCTGTCCTATCCTGTCCTATCCTGTCCCGTCCTGTCAGTTATTAATGGAGCGCCATTGTCTGCTAACGGCGCTTTGATTTCGCCATAGAAATTAGCATTCAATACAATTTACGCTGCCATGCCAATCAACGCCCTTACATACGCCCCAAAAACCGATCAGAGAAAAGCGGGGAAAAGAGAGTAAATGAGGTGGTAATAAAAGAAAAAACCCCGAAGACGTCAAGCTAATCAGAGAACTTTATTTTCCAGGTGGGGGAAATTATGCACAATTATGTGCCAAGGAAATCATGGAAAAAAAAGCCTAGGGGAACAACTTCCGCTGAAGGGACAGAAACTGAGACTTTAGACAGCGTTTGCCCTGAAGGCTGTGCACTGAAAGAAATTATAGGAATCTTGTTTGATTAGAAAATGTTTGGTTATCGAGGAAGTGTTCATAAAAAAATACAAAAAGGAAAAGCCTAGTTTTTTAAACTTTTGAGCATACTTTCGTTTAATTTCAAACGTAAACTCTCAAGTATTACCATCTTTTTAGGTTTTAGAAACTTTTTTATTTTTATTTTTAATTTAGCAAATAAATCCTACAATTAAAACCCATTGTACACTAATTATTCTCAGTGCATTTGCCAAGTTCTGGCTGTTGTCGTCGCTTGTCTCTATCCAAGATGTAGGTGGCGCTGCCGACATCGACATCACTTACGGTACACAGATCCCGACATTAGATAGAGTCCCCAGTCTCCAGCAGAATTCTCGCATTTCTTCCCGCCCCTTCGTGGGTTTAAGTGTGCCCCCCGCCTCGTGCCCCACAGTTAATCGCAATCGTGCGCGTTTGTTGATTGTTAGACGCGGATCAAGAGGGAGTGAAGACTAAAGACTGAAGACTGAAGACCAAAGACTGGAGACCGAAGACTGGAGACTGAAGATGAGGCCTAGGTCTGGGCCAAGCTCTGGCTCGTTGTCGACATCGTTGATTTCAATGTTTCATCTGCCGCGCAGCAACAATGAGCGGGTAACAACGAGAGGCAACAACCAGAGCGTGCCTTTTAATTGCCGTGCCGCCAACAGACATTAACATTAACATTAGAGGAGTCTCCGCAGAGACGACAATGTCTCAGCATTTCTCGGTTTGCTCCATTCCGTTTCTACATCTGTGTGGGCGGAGAGAGAACTATGACGCACCTGGGAGTGGATGAGATGATGCTGTGCAGCAATGGGAATGATTTAGATGGAATGGTTTGATGGGAGGCCCTAGAAAATGACGATCCTTTTACATCAAATGCAAGAAATAAGATGCATAACGCCATACTAGGACTCTCTGCTCTTTCAAAACAGATTTTTACATAATTCTTTAAGTCTTGTAAGTAAAAAATCTTGAATTAGTTTTGATTTTAAATGGCAGTTCCCTTAGAAGACTCCGTTTCCGGAGAATCTCTTCAGAGATTAAATCTGCAGTAAGGAGGATGGAGGAGTAGCAACCCAAAGAGACAATCCTGACCAATTCACCTACAATCGATCAAGTGAAACGGTGTGCAGGCGGAAAGAAACCGCTCGACGTTATGGAAGCATGTGTGGAGCGCTGCCCGTCGTTATGAGAACCAATGCCACGATGCAGATGCCGCTCCCTCATCTTCTTAGCTTTCAATTCTTAGCTCTCATCTCCATTCCGTTCCGTTTCAGAAGCAGTTTCAGTTGCAACAGTTGCAGTTGCAGCTGCAGCTGCAGCAGCAGCAGCAACAACAACATTAGAATTGCTAAGAGCCATTCAAAATCACCAACAGACAACGAGCAAAAATGTTAAAACGATCACGTTTTCTTGCTGCTGCTGTTGGAAATCCTTGCTGGAAAACTTGCGCTGGGGAAAAGCAAGAAAAAATCTCAGCTGCCGTTGACATTCCAAGGCTTCCCCCCTTCATGATTCCCCCGCGATGTGGAGCTGCGCGCATGCTAATTTCTTTTGCCGGTTGGCCCAACGGTGCTACTGCTGCTGGTGGTTTCCCCTTTCCCGCTCCTGACCACCCCCACCACTTCCAGCTTCTTAAAGACGAAGCCCTCGATGGCTAACTGTAAAAGGCCAACGCTAGGCAAGTGAGCGATGAAGCATGGAACTCCAAACAGAAGCGATTGCATGCATACCTCTCTGGATGTGTGACTTTGATACCCTATAGATGCTGGAGATCTTACGAATGCATTTAGAATGTTAAAATTAAGACAACACTATATTATGTAATGATTAAAAGCAGGATCTCTACTACTTCTTCGCTCGTATGCGCTTTTTAGGCGGCAACTGGTCCTCAATGCTTCCTATGTTTAAATGGTATTAATATTATTTAAAAGCTTCGATTCGGATTACCTTACCCTTACTGGGAGTGACCGAAGCTAGGGAACTGGGATTGATCGAGTCGGTTTGCCGACGTGGACGCAATTCACGGTTTTGGCTAGAGTTGGTGTCATTCAGTTCGGATCTCTGACGTTTGGTGGTACAACCAAGTTGCGGTTGCTTCAAGTCGAACGGAATCGAAGGCACAGCTGGCAATGTATCCTTAGAGCTATTTCTTGTAGAGCGCCTTAGTGGAGTGGAGCGCTCGACTACGGACGGGGATGATGATAATGATAGTATTCCCTTAATGGGCATCTCTGGATCTGGGGTCATGGAAACGCTCGTCATCGATCGTGCGTCCGAGGAACCCTCTTCCATGATCGTCTCTAGGACAGGATTGTGCTTCTGGAGGCGTCGCTTTCGTGAGGTAACTGGAGGCGCTTCTTTTCTATCGTCACTTCGCAAACGCATAGTGCGAATGGCAGGACCATTATGTTGGCATTTCACAGAGCGACGAACCCTGATCTCTAATTTTTTCAATCCCACTGACACTTCCTGGACTCCCTCTTTGGACAAGGGAATAGTTAGCCCATCCTGAAGGCTTAAACTGCTTGGTTTTGCTACCTCCTCGATCCCTACGATTATCTCGTCAGTTTCTGTCTCCGCATCCTTTCCCCCATTGCCTTCCAAACGGAGGATGCGGTTGCACTGACTCGATGGCTCCTTATCACGTTCCTCCTTGTCGGTTTGCCGTTCTCCTAAGAGCACAGGACACACTGTGCGATAGCGTTGCTCCAGTTCCGAGGAACCTTGCTGAAGGGTTCGCAAAAAGGGAAGATTACGGTGGAGTCGCTTTGGATCCTGGAAATTCTCTGTCCACAGAGAACTAAAGAGAAAGCTCGGGATATCACTGGGATTCTGCTGGGCCATTTGGCAGCTAAGAGGAAAAATTTTATCGGTATACGAATCCATGCTCAGATTGCTATTAATCCGGAAATAGGTATCGGCTACGCTCCGTGTCACCGCTGGCATTGAGGAGCGATACACTGACATAATTCTGTTTAAAGTATCGTTAGTTCCCCGGCGTTGAGCCGTCACATATTCTATGAAATTGACAGCCTCAATATATTTGTTTTTTTGCAGGAGCAGGATGAGTTGCACGGTATCCGTTTCGGGAGAGCCGTACTGCTGCAGTAGATGGAGAACCATCTGCTCCTCGTAATCACTCAGGCAGAGCTCGGCGAGCACCTTGAAGCGCTTCTTCACGATGCAATGGCGAAAGAAGTGCTCCACCAAGGGTTTTCCCTTCTTGTCCAATGTGATGCGAGCCTTGTGAAAGGCTTCGGCCATAAGGTTTTTGGCCATGAGTTTTTCCATCGCCTCTATGGATTGTTCCTTCTTGGCCAGAGTGCAGGATATAGGTGGCTTGGACGCAGGGTCACCTACCACTCCTTCCATAGCACGACGACGCCTTAGGCTCCTGGATATATTGAGCATTTTAATATCCAGATAAAAAAGAGTAAATGAAAAATTAAAATACAAATTTGAAGTTCCTATGAGTTCGAAATATTTTGTAAGGCACACTTAAAACCTTGAATTTTCCATGATATTTCTCCACTGAATTTATTTTTCAACAATCCAGAGGCAGTTGTCATTCGATTTCAAATGATTTTCTACCATGAATTTTTCTCTTTTGGTTTTTGTTTTCTTTGGTTTTTTTGTTTGCCTCTCGTTTTCCCCGAAAGTGTCCCCAAATGTTAATGGACAACGGAGAGAGCGGATTTTGCAGGGTTCCAAAATGCAAATGAATGCCGATAATTCAAACGATAAGTTTGTCTTTTGTCTTGTTTGCAGCTACCGTTTGTTGTTTTTCCTTGGGTTTTTCTCAGGTTTTTTTCCCCATTTTTCTTTTGTATTTTGTTGTGTTTCCACTGTTTGTTGTTTTTTTTTTTTTTTGCAGCTACCGCCTAGAGCCAACAACAAGCAACCATTAAGGAACCCAAGGGAAGGATCGGGGGAGAGGGACAAACGGAGCCAGGACCATGATCACGATTTTCAAGTTTCGACATTTGATTGAGTTTTTTGAACTAACGATTTTTTGTGTGGTTTCTTTTATATTTTTTTTACTTTGCCGTTTTGTCTTAGTCAGTGTGTGTGTGTGTTGTGTGGGCGTCTTGTATCCCGTATTCGTATCTTGCATATTGCTCCTAAAGAGCGTTAATTTGACACACAAATAGCCCAGATTAACGATCGATGATGATGGCGCGAAATAAATGTCTCTATACCAGGGATGTAAGCTAATTATTTGTGAAATATTAAATACAATTTTAAATATTTAAATATTATTATAATCTTGCAGGTGTGTTATCATTTCAGTCTAAAGCTGAATGCAGTGAAGGAATCATTTCCGACTCTATAAATCATATATATTCTTGATCAGCATCAGCATGTTGGAAAGAAAAAAAAATATGTGAAAATTTTTTTCTAACTTTAATAATCGATATTCCATCAAACAAATTTTCAAAAATCGCCAAAAATTTAAAATTTAATTCAATTAAATTTAGGTATGCAGATTTATCAATCTATTAAAACTAGAACTAACTTCCGTGTCGAATTTAAGGCATTTTTGCCTTAGTTATGCGATTTTTAAGCTTTGCTTTGTCATGAATAAATAAATAAATATCAAAGAATGTGAATACATATTTAAGGGTAACATTTTTCTTACTTTTGAAGCAATTTTAATTAAATTTTATAGTTAGACTTCTCTTTAGTCTCACTCGTACATATATTAGTCGGCACAGGCCGGATCCAACGACTATATCATATAGTTGTCATAGGAACGATTATCAAATATAGAAGAGAATGCAAAACTGTATCTCATTTACTCTAAATAGCTATTTCTCTATGTATCTCCCTCTCTCCCTCTCTAGAGATGGCTCTCGCTCACTCTCTCTCACTTTCTCTGTTCTCTTTACCCGCAGACTATAAATAGAGTCGCTGCAATTGCGCTGATCTCATTCTGTTCGCGGCCTCCCCGCTGTTAACATCGATAGTGATAGTGAGTGATAAGTGCCCTTCGAACCCAAAAATATCATCTGACGCATGTAATACATCTGGATAACGAGGAAGGTTACTTCGATAATTGGCTAATTGAAATCACCAAGAAGGTAACTCCACACTGGAAGGAATCAGCCAATGATGATAAAGGATAACTCTACTCTACTCCGGTAAGTCTTAATCATGATAATTATATCATATATTTAGATACTATAGGAGAGATCAGCCCTAGGTTTATAATCAGATGTTATAGCTATGCATATATTTTCCAATTAATTCCTATTTTTACTTGAACAATAAATAACGGTTTCTACAAACGTAAACTCAAAGTTAACGACTAAACTTAAGTTTAATTTTGTCATGAATATTAATTTCTAGTCTTTACAATAGCTTCAAAACTAACCCTTGCAGGGTACTATAATTTCAGTCTGAATCTTCTCATTTGTGAAGGAGTCGTTTCTAACCCTATAAACCATATATATTCTTGATCAGCATCAATAGACAAATCTTTCTAGGCATGTAGGAAAGAAAACAAAAATTTGAAATTTTTTCTAAATTTTATAACCGTTTTTACATCAATCAAATTTAAAAAAATAGTCAAAAATTTAAAATTCAATTCAACTCAATTTGAGTCGGCAGATTTTTTAATCTGTTAAACACTAGCACAGAACAGCTTTCCGAATCGAAATTAATGCCTTTTTGGCTGAGTTATGAGATTTTTAAGCTTTGGGTTATACAAAAATAGTCATATCGGTAATTTATACCCTTACAGGGTATACTAATATCAATCAGAAGCTCAAAACGTAGTGAAGGAATCATTTCCGACCCTATAAATCATATATATTCTTGATCAGCATGAAAAGCCGAGTCGATCAAGCCATGTTCAAAAGAAAAATAAAATTTGAAAATTTTTTTCAACATTTTATCGTTAAAAATTGTCCTTGTCATAATGTCAAAATTTGGAAAAAATTCAATTTTAAACAATTATAAAACTTAATATGCAGATTTGTTAAGCTTACAAAATCTAGCTCAGAACAGCTTTCCGAATCGAAATTGATGGTTTTTTTTGCCTAAGTTATGAGTTTTTTAAGCTGTGAACTATAGAAAATCTTCATATAAATGTATATAAAAATAAATGTATAAATGTATACATAAAAATCAAACGTTCTTCTTTTCTCAACATTATTAAGTTCCGAATTATTAAGTCTTGGTAGTTTAAATTTCAAGTTTAATAAAAACCCTATCCCAACCAGTAAACAAAAGCTGTCCAACCCTGACTTAGAACCAGATTTGAACTCTCCTTGAGCCAAACACAAAAACAAGAAAAGGAAAAAGAAACCGCAACGAAAGGAAACGAAACACAAATGTTAACTCTGCATGTTGATAAAAATATGACAAGTTGGCTGTCATTAGTCACACAATTAACATATACAAATGCCGCCGAGAAGTGGAAGCCAGAGGAGGAGGAGCTGGAGGAGCACGAGGAGGAGGAGGAGGGACAAACTCCAGACTCCATCTTCCTTCGGTGGTCACGTCGTAGTGGGAAACGCTGAACGAGAGGCGCAGGAGACACGCTGACTTCAGCAAATTGTCAATTACTCATGCGATGAGCGAAAGGAGCAACGGAGCATCGGTGCAAAGGAAGCTGGCAAAAGGAGGAGAAGGAAGCCAAGGAGGAGGGGCAGGAGGTAAGGACCAGTCCCAGTGGCCGAACCTGAATCCCGGGGCCTCTGCTGGACGACCGCCTGTCGTCGACGACTGCCTTTTAAAGCATCATTAGCAGCGATAATTAGCGCCGTGCAGACGACAGCCCAGGAATTGCCTTGCAACCTCGCAGAGACCCGAAAAAGCACGCAGAAAAATGCAATATGGATTCCGAAATATTACAATATAAATGCAAAATTATATAATAAATAGAAGAAATTCTCATTGCGACAGTTTCATATATTTTTATGCCAATTTAAAATGATTTAAATGGGAAATCTAATTTTTAATTACTCTTTTACTGGACCAGAACCTCATTCATTTCATTTCAAAATCCCTACATTCAGCCTAAGGCGATTCTTGGTTAACGTGTCCGACTTTGGAGACCGGGACACATCACCCACTTGCTCCTCCTCGCCCAGACCCAGCTCCCTATTCGATTCCGCGGCCTTCTTGGCCTTCCGGAGATCAGCAACTGCCACTTCGGACAACACCTGTGTTGAGGACAGATTCACTCGCATGGCTGCCGGGGGATTCACAAAGATCATTTTGTCGCACATCTCTTCGCACATGCCACTGTGACCCTCACGCACAACCCGCGGCTTGAACATGTAGGTGGTGGCCGTCATCCTGGGGTCCACATACTGCACCTGTACCTCCACGGGAAAGTCGCTGGCCAGCACCTCGCTAATCTCGAACGGAGCACTGTCCGCCACATGGAGGCGGAGTGGGAGGCGCGGTGACATCCGGAAGGTGACTTGGCGGACATAACGCGCCAGATCGTCGTCCTTGCCGCCCGCCCGCAAATAGACGCTCCACGTTGGCTCCATAATGTCGGGCAGATCAAGGTCACTCACCTCCATCTGGCAGCCCAGGACAATGTCCCGGCTGATCACACAGCGTCCATAGATGGCGGTGTTCTCAGCTCCCCGATAGCAACTCACACGCTGGCTGTCGTCCATCACATTCTGATGGCGCAACAGGTTCGTATAGCTCATCCCAACGGATCGGATATTATTTTAAAATTGGACGGAAATTTTATGAGTTTGATTTTGGGAAGAAACCAAGAAAAAAGATGCCGAATATCCAGGCTGACGGAAGAATTTAAAGCCTACTAATCAAGGGGAGATTTTAGAGAATCTCTGAGTGAGTGAAACTTGGAAGATTAGAAGCAGGGAGTGTATTTGAGATAGTTCTGAAAAGCAAGAAATTTCAAGGATCATTTGAAGCGAAAGCTTAAAGACAGATTCAAATTCAGCGGTATTTTTGTATCTTAACTTATTTTAAGTAGAGAAGAAAAAGCTGAGAAGAAAAATTTGGGAAGAAAAAGCTGAGAAGAAAAAGCTGAGAAGAAAAAGCGGAGAAGAAAATTCAGAGAAGAAAATGTACAGAAGAAAATGAAGAAAAGAAAATGCAGAGAATAAAAAACATAAAAGAAAATGCAGGGAATAAAAAGCATAGAAGAATAAGTAGAGAATAAAAAGCTGAGAAGAGAATAGAAAGCTGAGAAGAAAATGCAGAGAATAAAAGTAGAGAAGAAAATGCAGAGAATAAAAAGCAGAGAAGAAAAGCAGAGTTGAAAAAGCTGAGAAGAGAATGCATAGAAAAAAGCAGCACAGAAGACGATAGAAAAGCAAGGAAGGCGCTTGAGAAATCATAGAAGAGAAGGCTATAGCAAAAGCAGAAATGGCTACAGAAAAAGCATAGAATGCGATAGAAACTTAAAGTGTGATAAAACAAAAAGATAAGAAAAAACAAGCTAACAAACTATTATTTAAGATTTTTTTATTTAACCCATTTAAGGATTCATTAATATTCCAGCTCGGAATTATAGTAACTATTGATTTAAGCTACAATTTTCATTTCTCTTATTGTTTTCTGTGCAAAAACCACGTACTCATCATATGCCCCCCTGTCTAAGCTGTTTTTCGGCTAATAAATTCAACATGTTAAGCGTTTTAGTTAATATTTCTTTTTTATTTTGTTCGTTGGTTTGGCAAATTTGAAACTCGTGAGAGATTTGCTTTTGGCCACCAGCAGCAGCAACAGCAACAGGTTGTTTCCCTGCTTCTATTTTCCCATTCAACTTCAGCCCTATGTGCGTAACTTTAGTGAATGGTCACTGCACTGTGATTTTGGCCAAGAAGAGGAGGTGGCAGCTGTTGCAGTTGCAGTTGCAGTTGCTGTTGCTGCTGCTGCAACTGAGTGACATGTTAATTAGTCGCTTACATGACGGCCGTTTGCTGGCAAGGCTCAACGCTTGCCCGAAAATGCTAATTTCCACACATTGGGCAACCGCTGAGACGCGGAAAAGCGCCAGAGACAGACGCGGATACGGAGAGGGTGGGGGAGCCGGGGAGAGTTGAGCAATTTTATAATTGAGCAATTTGCCAGCGTCTGATTTATTTGTGGATCCCCACAAAAAACGGGATTAAACGGTAAGTGTCTCCCATTGCAATATTTTGAGGTGCTAGAAATAAGATCAAATGGATTAGCAACTGCCACAAGATGGATTTATTCGACGCTCGTATTTTTTGACACATTTCCTCAACAAAAAAAAAAAACAAAACACAGCTAAATAATATGTACAACTGACAACTCTTTATGGTAATTAAGGAAAAATATATATAGTTGTAGATATTTTAGGTATTTTATGAGAAATATGGAAAATGAATAGCTAAACAATTAAAATTTAAACACCTTCAATATTTTAACACCTGCCAAAGGTATTTCCTATTACTAAAACACTTAGGAATAATATTAGAAATATTTTCTGTGATTTATGCAAAACATTTATGATGGTAACACCTTCTTTTTGTTTGCAATTTAAACAGTTTATCTCACACATTATTAAGTTGGCTTTGAGTTGATGGGGTGGAACCTCCCACTTTCCACCTCGATGGGATCCTTAACAAACCCGACGACCGTGTGCAAATGATGCTATTAAAGTGGCATTTAAAATTTAAGCGGCACTCGGTTAAGCCTGTCTTTCTATCCCTCTTTCTCTGTAGCATTTCTTTTGCATTTCACTTCTCTTGAAGAAGAACTATGTACAATGGCAGCCAGCAGGAGCTGCAAGTATCGACATCGAAGACACGACTTCTCCTTTGCATATGTATGAGAGCGTGTAATTTGCACTTGTGTGCCACAGTGAGTATCTGTGTGAGAGCATCTAAGATGCCGCCAGGCGATGCACGCCGCTCGTTTAGATCGTCACCATTGCCTCTGGCCTAGCTCCTTGGCGTCTGCCGCCTGACCCAAGCGATTTTACAGTGCCACAAACTAGCAACTAGCAACTTGCAACCAGCAACTTGCAACTAACAACTAGCGACCATCGCCAACACCAGCTACATTATGCCTTAAAAAAAACCACCGAAAAGTTTTTGTTTGTCTCAACACTGGCACAAAAAACGAACATTAAACAAACATTCATTTCGATTTTATTATAGTTTACATTAGACTTAATATGAGTAAATCTGTATAAACAATTTAAGCTTGAATCATTTAACTTAACCCTTACATTTTCGCAACTTTAATAAAATTTCCTTCAATCTCTTTTTTTTGTGTGTATATTTTACATTTGGTTTTTCCTCCTCAAATAATCAACAGCAACTACGATTGGCAAACAAAACTCTCAAATGTGTTACGGTCACAAATGCTTAACTTTTACTAATAGTTAACAGTTTCTGCTGCTGTTTTTTGTGGCTGTAACTCCTTCACGCAGTCGCGATTTTATAGATAAACATTCTATTTGGCAATTAATTGGCATTTTGTTACTTTTCCAGTTGGATTTGTATAAATTGTTTGTTGCTTTGCTCACGATATTGAAATGTTTGTTGTTGTTTTGTTTCAGGTTTACAAAGCTTTAGCCTAGTTGGAGCTAAGGCTCTTTGCTATTTTCCAGTTGTTTGCCAGAGTTGTGGGTTGCTGCTTGGCTGGTGGATTTTCGTGATTGTCAACAATGATTATTTGGTCAACACTTGGCGGGGCGCTTAGAAAGTAAACCAAATGAGAAGAATACGAGAGGATAGCAGGATGAGGATGAGGTGGAGCAGGAGCAGGAGCAATCTCTGTCCATGTTGGCTAATTAAATTGAAGGCGGAACGGATTTAACTCGAGAGAGAGAATCACCGCCGAGGGCTGCATTAGCTTCCTTTCCGCCTTGGTTTCCCTTGGTTTCTCCCCTCTGTGTTGGCCACGAATTTATGGCATTGGCAAGGCAATTGACATTAACCCTAACAGCGACAGATGCAGCCGCAGCAGCAGCAGCAGCTACTTGCCACAACTGGCTGCGGCTGCTGCTGTGGCAATGGCAATGGGTTTGACTTTGGTATTGGTATTGGGAATGAGAATGGAACGTAGTTGCACTTGGCACACAGATGAATTTATGTATGCAAAGCAGGAGACAACACGAAGGGTTCGGGGCACTCAAAGGGGACTAAAAACCGAAACCGAAAGCTACCTCCTCTGACTGACAGGACAAAGGAGTTATTTTTCACAAACAAACAAAAAAAAAATGGTATAAAGAACAAAAAAAAACGAAAGGGAGCAATCTTCAGGAGGAAGTGCAAGTTCACCAAGAGTTTGGGGAGTGGAAAGAACATAAAGGCAGCCCCACAGTAGTCGCCGCTGCTAAAGAACAGTGGTCAAAATTAAATTAGAAATCGGAGAAAATAATATAAAATACTAATAAATTATTTATAGAAAAATTATCACACTAAATATAGCATTATAAATGTTCTATACCTTGATATAATACAAATTTAAATACCTATACATTTCTATATACCTCTATAAACTTGTAAACATATATATTTTTATAAGGAAAATGTTATTTAATTTGTCTTAAAGTGATTATATTTATTTGCTTTAAATATCGATACAGCTTCAATATATCAGTATTTTCTTCCATCCCTCCTTGTCTTCTAATATCGATACAGTTTCGATAAATCATAGTATTTTCTACCATCTCTAGTCAGAACTCAACTTAAATTAGATAATAAATCATACTGCAAAAGTTCAAACCAATTAAATTGAAGCAAACCATTAACTATTTAAAGGTCACATAGATTAGTACTTAATGGGAGGCTTTAAGATTTTTCAGTTCTTGAAATCTCGTACAAAATCTTTTAAAAAGATTATGCTCGCCGTTAAGATATATTAAAGTGTTTTATTCTAAAGGAATTTATGACAAACATTTGATTAAAGTTGAAAATATATATGTATTAAATACTGCATCATCAATTTTTTTTTGAAAAAAAAAAAGTAGTAAAATTGTTTATATATTAAACCTTCTGGCACTGTGCCTCGTCGGCTTTTCAGTTGCCACAAAAGACTTGCAGCAGACAGAGGCAACAGTAGCTCCCTGAGCTACTCTGCTCTGGAGTGGAGCAGAGAAACAGAAGCCGTAGCCACCATATCCCGGACCGGACCGGGGCAATCCAATCCAGTCCGAGGCCTCTTCAAACGGAAAAGTAAAAGTAAAATAAGTGCGCCAGCCAGAATGGGTTTCGGGTATGCAAAGATCTGCTCCTCCTGCTCCTGCTGCTGCTTCTGTGGGGATGGACATAAATTATCTTTGGGTCGGGGCGGCGGACAAATCTTCAGAAGCTCCACGACGACGACGACGACGACGACAATGTCCAAGCAGCCGCCTGTCAATTGCAACCGAAATGAACAAAGAGAAGAAGGAGCAGAGCATCCTTCGCCGATTGGAGGAAGCCTGTCAGCGGACGAATCTCAGTCTCCGTCTCAAAAGCAAAAGCAAAAGTGCGCCAGTTGGCGGCAGTGGGAAATGAGTCAGGAGTCAGGAGTCGGGATCGAAGCCGATCCGATCGAGAAATCGTTTGGGATGGCCTCCTGACAATTGTGAAATGCAAACGACGACGACAGGCGAATGGCCGAAAAATAACCCAGCCCAGGCCCCAAGGCTTGATTAATTTATGGCCTCCGTTTCTTGCTCTGGACTCCATTGTGAGCTACTGGATCTTGGCTCGGCTTGGCTTGGCCCTTTGTTTCCTGGCCTTGACTGCGGCTGCATCTGCCTTCTCCTGGCATTTGAATCACGACCTCGGCAGGAGCTTCGCGATCGGAGAGCAGAGAGCAGAGA